CTACCTGTGGGTACCTGTCAGGTAAACAAATACGTCACACCCCCATTGTTTTATTAGCTATACACACAGACAGATTTCACACCTTTAATCGTACTAATGTACAAAAAGCAAATTCACAGGAAAAACAAACAGTGGCATGATTTTTAAAGAAATCATGGCCCTAAACGGCACTGCTTAAAGCACACTATACGAGTAGATTCTTGTCTAGAGATACATGTATGTTGAACAAAAAATAAAACACAACAGGGTAAATCCCCCTTTCATCATATATAGTATAAAAACTAGCCTTAATTTCATACAGGCATATTAAAGTCAAGATTAAAACATTTTGCACCACCCGGACCTTAAAACGCATAGGGACCTTTTCTTATACGGGCCGGACCTTTTCTTATAAAAGGAGGACCAAATATGTTATCGTATTAGGTCCGGCCGGACCTTTAAACGAGGCGGACCAAATATTATGCGACACCGGTCACAGCCGCCGTGTGTTCCTTGTCATGGTTGGGAAATTACGGAAAAATCCGTCGTCAATTTAGTGTATATATAATTAATTGACTTACGAGGGTCATTCAAAAAATACGTAGATGCTTCTCATCGTCATATGATTACTACAAGATTATAGATCAACTCATTTTCGTAAATAAAAACATTTATTTTGTCGAAGTGTGAAGTTCCATTCTGTTTGATTAAATAGAACTCATGTTAGCCAAAATTTAAAGCAACATGTTTTGTTACCACGGAGCACGGTTAACCAATATTGCAGCGTCAAAAACAACGTTGAGAAAGTTTGTCAAAATTATACTCTTATCTTTTTTAATTTCAAACACGGTTTGTAGCGTCTTCTCCAATCAAAAAACATATCAATAACACTTAACACTTAGTTTGCTAAAATTATACAAATATAGCTTGAATTATAATGTCATTGTTTTCAAATTCTTTAATTTACCATGTAACTCTATTAATTCTGCAAAAGTGAAGCACACATCACATTCGATGACGTTCCTAACTCTTTTGACAATATTTTTAACTTTAACCTGTTTCTTTGCAGACAATCCATCGTCCGATTCAAACTCGCTACCACTCAAAAATTGTATTTTCGATTTAATACAATTACACAGATTATTGTTCATACAGATCCTGGTTTATACAGATTTTTTAAGCTTCTAGAAAAAGTTTCCCGAAAGTAAAGTACAATTTTATTGGTATTTGCTACTCCGTGACGTCCTCCAACTCATGGTTTTTTGCCTTTTTTAATCAAGTCCTTATGTATTTAAAAACTGATATCTTTTAAATGGAGCGACATATTACATAACTTGATTTCATTGTAATTAATACAGCAATACTTTATTTAAACATGTAAATTTTATTTCGTTTCAGCTCCATTTATTAGAGGTATGACTGTAAATACTATAAAGTGAAATTTAGTAAATTACTCAATTTTGACGGTGCTCCGTGACCCTATTTTTGCTGTTCTAAATCCCCGGTCCTTTTAATAAATATGAAGATACATTCCATTTTTTTACTAAATTTTTTTGAATCTATTGTTAAAATATTTGTACAAAATTTGGATATAATATGACGTTAAATAAAAAAGTTAGGACAAAAGTCTACGAACTTTTTGAATGACCCTCGTACAATTAGTATATAAAAAAAATGAGTTTACCTTATTGATAAATTGTATTTGCTGACAAGGCCATCGTATCGACCATAGAACTTACAAAATGATGACTTTAAAGGAGACTGCTGACATTCTTGTTTCGTCATCTTTTTGTCAATAATTTTCCTTGATACAGAAATTGTTCATACGTAGAGCACGCGCTTGCATATCGAGTCAATTGAGATATATAAACTCCGTATGCAGGTTATTAAGTATATTGCTACATATGTGTATGGAGTTGACAATTGAAAAGTCAAAGTTTTCACGTTTATCATAAAGCTTGGCTTGTAGATTACCGTTAACGTCTTTTTCAAGTAAAAGATCCAAATATGAAACAGTTGTGTCAGACTCTGTGGTATCTTTTATTTGAAGTTCAGTAGGATATATTGACATAAGAATTTCGTAAACCATCTTTAACTGACAGTACGTCGTCGATATATCTAAATGTCGAGTTGAAGGTCACAGCAAGTGTTTCTTCTTTTCACGAATAAGATTTTAGACAAATTCTGCTTAATATGGATACAAAAATAGGTAATAGCTAATGAAAAGGCACAATTGGTACCCATGGGAATTCCAATAGATTTTTGGAAGACCTGGTCTCCAGAAACTCAAGCATCTTTTCATGTCAACTTAAGAGTACTTATGTGACCAACCAGAATGTTTTACCTAATTTTCAAAATAATCAATGACAAGGAAAGTATTTTCAAGTTCCTTTTTTATTGAAAAATCAGCTGTCAATGATATCAAAAAGCCTAAATTTTATTTTAATGTGGGGAATGGTTGTGTATAAAATTGAAAATTCGTCAGTTGATTTTGGTAAAAAAAAAATATGATTTCAAATTGTCCAAAAGTTCCTTGGAGGTTTTAATTGTATCCTCATCTGATTCACACCACTTCTTGATTATAATGTTGCACATGCACAGTGTACTCTTGAAGTTTCTCCATCACTACTGTTGATATCTTGGTGAGGAGTATTGAAAGAGGCTTGGTTTTGTAGAATTAAATCCAAGTTCTCCTAAAATACAATTTATATAAAACAGATTTAAAAACGAAGACATTGGTGTTTCCTGCTTTATCAACAAGGTACAATACGTAATGATTATGTAATGTATCTAATTCTTTTTTTACCTCTGCATCATTGAATACAGAAGGATAAATGAATTCATATTGCCCCTCAGTACACGATTTAATACCATTTTTCACCACGTGATCTTCGCCAAGAAGTTTGGACTACTTTTTTAGAAAAAAATAACATTACTTTAAATTGGTCTTATTTTTTGAAAAAGAAAAGATAAGGCTTTTATATTATACATGCGTTATTATATGTTACAAGACCTTTCTTAATGTATAAATGATTTTTGAGCCAGTATCCTTGAACTCGAAGTTTGACCTAATTTTCAAAAATTCTGTATTTGCTTTTCATTTTTGAGTGAAAAGAGATAGGCGTTTTATATTCAAACTTGCAAGACTTTTCACAAGATGATCACTATTCTTTTAACTTGCTTGTAATTCTTTTTTACCATTTCAAAAAGCTCATAACTTTTTAAATTTCTAATTTAAAGACGTATTTTTAAAGATAGAATTGGTGCAGATCTTTCTTCTTTGATCATCGGACTCTTGTGTCCTATCGCAAAATTAGAATTTTGTTTTAGGTGATAAAAATATATTTTACATTAAAAAATAGATAACCAGAATTGTTAGACAATATTTTAACACTTAAAGTCTAATTCGATAGTTTCATCGCCTGAATTTGTTTGATCTGGAAAAACTGTAAACATTGAAAAGACATTTAGCGTTCCACGGTATATAAATGTGCAGGTGTCATAACAGTACGTCAAATGATGGCTGACGCAAAATTATCCCTGAATCTCCCCTTCCGATTCGGGCATTTTGAAACGAGACTGGAGCTGATTTTTTTATGAGATGAAAAACAACATGTAAACTTCCTGTATTGACCAGATTTATAAAAAATTTAGGGCATGCTGATTTTTCTATATACTGTCAAGAGTGGGGAGTGATAAGGCCCTGGACTAGATTTTCAAACACCTGCTCGACTTCGACCGAAACAAACTTGCGTGTCTTGCTGGATGGCTATGTTTTTTTTTTTGGTACGAAAATCTTTATAAAGAATGGTTTTACAAGATCTGAAAAGGAAACTTCTCAGAAGTTTGTTTTAAATTAATTACATCTACTCAAACTTGCGCATTTTTTGGTAAGAATATATTGCAGAAAATAATACTGTTGTGCAACATGCAATCCCAAGAAAATCAAATTCGTAATGCGCCACATAAAAATAAAGTTATCATTATTCTACAGTAACAATATTTCAAAAAGATTGTAAAAGATCGCCAGTAGACCTAAAAAAATTCACTTGAAAATTGCCATCAAAGTTTTTTTTCATGACAAAATTGTGAAGAAATGTGTTAAATTTACATTTAAAAAGAACTACCTATCAGATGCCATTTAAAAATTTTCACCAAAGGTTATTTTTATTTAAAATATGGCCAAACGTGAAGGTCAAGGTCAAAGGGTAAAAATCGTAACATGCTCGATTGTTTTCTTGATCGTTTGAATGATGACATTCATACAATTTCTTGCTTCAGCAGATGAGTTCTAATTATAGGGTAGTGTTCTGCCCTTAGGAGTGAAATAGAAAAAATATTATTTACAATTTGTAATAGATTAAAAATATTTTACATTATATCAGACCAAGAATAACTAAATTATTTTATTATTTCCATTAATTTTTCCAATGTAAGTGAAAAAAGTCTCTGTTTATGCATATTTCATTGTCTTTAAACATTTTCCCTGCAGAATTAAGGCAGGTATGTATACCCTATGTTGAAAATGAATTAAATAGTCTCAATAAATATGCACACCTGTATGGGGTATATTTTTCTCAAAATCAAAACAGCACTTTTTCTTAGTGCTTAGAGCTTCATTTATATGATAAGACACAGAAATATATAACTTACTAATACCCTACTATAACAGATTCAAGGTCAAAATTTGCAGCTGGCTCCACCGCCAAGTGGTGACGTCTCCATATGCGTGAAAATTCTCGAAAGGGACTTTAAACAATATATCACAGATTATAAAGAATTAGCAAGTTAATTATAACCCTCAAGATGGGTCAAAATAACCTTTTTGGTACGAGAATATTTAATTTTTAACAAACGAAGGATGGCAAACTTGAGGCACTACGTATCATAAAGCTATTTTTTCTTTTAGATATTGGCCTACAATAATATATTGTTTGCCACAGGATTTAAGAATCAAATATTTTTTAAACTTAACCTTTAAAATGTGATTCAAATTTGTCCATTTAATTTGTTTTCACTAGATTACCTTACCAACTGGTGCTATCGTTGAGTTCAATGTAGGCAGAAACTGGCTGTACAATATCCACATAACACCTTCTATATTTGACAAGGATAACGTGGAGGGCTTGTGTGGAAATCCTAATGGTAATGTGTATGACGACTTCAGGCTTCGCGATTCCTCTGTGTCAATGTGGTGGGATAAACGCGAATTTCAGAAGAGCTGGCGGTATGTAGTACAAGATAGTGTCCTCCTCAAATCACAAGCAGTGTGTGAAAAAAAGAGTGTACCTTAAAATCGCTCAAGCTTAATATCGTCAAGACAACTTTTCTGATATTTATCAAATTAAGCAATGGAAGGACAAAAGCAATACGCAATTGAATATCAATTATCGCAGAATTCAAGATATCACATCCACATAGCAAATTGAGCTGAAATCATTGGGCAAATACATGTCATAAAATGATGAAAGTTAAAGTCTGATCCCATTTTCAATATGCAACAACATGACATCAAGAAATCGTGTATACTGTGCCTTATGAAAGATAACAGGGATTGAATTCTTATCCTAGTCTGGTGGACCCCTTTTCTTCCTATGTACATCATGATGCAAGTCACTCTGGTGCTGGGGTCAGATTGTGGAATATTTTGCCTATGATATGTATTATTCTTTATCTGAGTCTCCCTTTTTCTGACCCCCATTTTATTGCCTGTGTTTTACTTCTTTCGTCATTTACTTTGATAAATGACATATTTGGCTTCTACACGATAATATTTGTTTCTACCTGCTTTTAACAAAAATCAAGTTCGGTCGTTTGGCAAGAGAACTAAGGAACATACATACTATAATGTAATCATATAGGCATCTCCAAATTGAATTAATCGAGCTTTCCTTTATATTATTAAGCTGAAATTTTCTAAATTGACTTCTTAATGGTGAGTATATTTTAGCACATGGCAAATTTACCATTTTCCTCTTGGTGTTGACGAAAATTAGAGCGAAAAATGACAATACTGCAAAAAGAAACCACGTCAAAGGATTAGTTAATAAAGTATTAGTTATCTTTTAAGATAGTATCTTTTGACTATTGAAACAATAACTATTTGGAATTTTAATTTTTTGCGATGGGACGAATATATCATGATGCTAGATTTGAAAATGTAATTCTGAAAAAAAGACCTTTTTTAGTATAAAAAGCATACGATCAGAGTAGTGATACATGTACTGTTATTATTTTGCGCTTTAGAATCATGTTTATATACTAAAATACTATACATAAACACAAGTTACTGGAGTTGAACTGTTTCTGCGTCTAGGCAAGACAACACAGGACTGCTTTCAAAAGGACGGATATTACAACGGTTGCAATTGGCGAGAAAACATTAAATTGTTTAGGAACTGTAATAATCCGTGCCAACAGCATATCAAGGTCCTACTAATTATAACGTGAATTATGTTTTGAGTTAGAGAAAAAGTAAATTTGTTAAACAATCACTTTGAAATATATTTTGATGCCCCATTCCGCATCGTAAAAATGTGACTTTTTTGTGTGAAAAACCATGTGAATATAAAAAAAACGCGGAGTTGTACATGACTGTATATATATATAAAAGTTAAGACATTATTCTTTACTATACATGAAGGAATCGCAAATAAAGTATTGATTTGTTTATTTATTTCAGTATCAATCTAGCCTCATCTGAAAGTCTTTTTGGTCCAAACCTAGTGTTGAAAAGAAATGATTTTTTCAAACTTCAGAGGTACTGTGATTGTGCCACTGCAAAGTCAGGCCTAGCTGATCAAGAACCTCTGACGAGTCATTTTACTGCAAATTGTTCTGTAAATAGTACCTCTCCAGCTTTATTGTGTCCTCAAAAAGCATAAAGTCTTTCATATAATTGTGAAACCTACGAAAATAGATACAAACGTAACATCAACGGTATGAGTTCTGTTCATAAGATCTTCAGAAGGAGTGCAGATCCCGATGACGTCACTGATACTCCACCGCTTACGTATGATTCTGAATTTGATCCGAACTTTGTTCCACCGGTAATTTATATATAATTCATATGTATAATTATATATAAAATAATTCATATGCATATTGCAAACCCGTTTCAAATTTTGCATATTTTATATTACAAATATACATGTAAAACATATAATTTCCAAGGTGTTGCGATACTTTTAAGTAACATATTTATAATTTATTGAATGTATTTTATGCAATGTTCATCGAATTTATAACATTGGAATATCAACGGAAATTATATTGATTTTAGACTTACGTTCCAATTAAGTTCATACATCTTTAATTTCCTCTTATGTTCCAAACATGTTCACTCATCTTTAATTTCCTTTTTATTATAATATGTAGAGTTTTATTGTAATCAGGAAGATCAAAGCCCAATTTTTGCTGTCAAAGAGAATAAATGGACAAGCACAATCTCAGTTTATACTTTGGAAAATATGCAATAAATTTTATTTCATTTATGAGTAAAAAGTTCTCTGAAATCATTTTTATGAATAAGAATGCAAATTTTTGTTCTTTTTTAAATTCATATTTTCTTTTTCTTATTAAGACTCCAACTTGGCATAATGGATGGACTGAACAGTCTGCTCGAGTGGTCTGCGAGAAAGCAATACTGAATGATCCAGCCAAAATAGAATGTCAAAAGCACATTTCAATGGACAACAAATCCAGTATTGCCATTGAAGAATGTATTCTTGATATAAGGGTAATTGTATTTATCTATATATATACTCTAAAATGTTCTAATACCCATCTTGCTTACATTGCATTTGACCACATTACATTTTCTGTGATCATATGTGGCCAATTCAATTGGATTAAATTCAATTAATGAGGCAATATACTATTTTCTCAACAGATTCCTGATTTTTTTATATTTTTTAAATTGTATCAGACATTTACTTTTTAAAAAATGTAATTCAACGTGTTTTTCATTACCCAAAGTTTTAGTAGTATAATGTAAGATTTTTTTTTTCAAAGTACGTTGTTTATATTTAATATTATATTATTTTGACTGCTTTCAGAATAAATTACATAAATATAAACCTTCCATGAAGTCGATTCATAGATATATCGACTTCACAGAAGAGCATATCGACAGAGCACGGAGAACGAGTTGATATATTTTTTAACTCAGACTAATATAAAAATAAGCTGTTTATCCTTATTGTGTTTCTTTATAACTGATAGAGTAATTTAGGAATTATAATTTTAGAGATTACATTTGTTTTATTTGACATTCGTATAAAACAAGATTGTTATTCAAGGCATTGTTACACGCAACCAATTATTACGGATATCATACACAGTAATTATAACAAGAGGCCCATGGGCCACATCGCTTATCTGAGTAACTTTGGCCATTCTGTTATTTAACAGATTCTCCCCTTTGTCATACATATTTTGAACTGCCCAGTCCCAAAGGATCATTTGTTCGAATCACCCATTGTCTGTCCGTCCCTTTGCACTTTCCACATTTTCAGCTTCTTCTCAAGAGCCATTGGGCCAATTTTACAAAACGTTTGGTACAAAGCATTCTTAGGAAAATGGGAGTTTAAATTGTGAAAATGAAAGGTTAAGTCCCCTTCAAAGGGGAAATAATCAAGGTGGTTCTACATAAGTTTCAGCTTTTCTTTAGAAGAAGATTTTAAAGAGTTTTCCTATATATTTCTATATAATTCTTGGATTCCCTATTGTGGCCCTGTTCTACCCCCGGGGTCATGATTCGAACAATTGAGAATATACACTATCCCAGGATCCACATAATTTCAATTTTTTTGGCCCAGTGGTACTTGAGAAGATTTTAAAACGGTATTTCCTATATATTCTTTGTAAAATTTGTTCGCTGTATAATAATAATATAAAAATTTGTTCAATGTAAAACTTGGACTCCCTTTTGTGGCCATAGCCTACAAGTGGTAGTCATGATTTGAAAAAAATCAGAATCTACATTACCCTTACATGCTTCCACTTAAGTTTCAATTTTTCTGGCCCATCTTTCTTGAAAAGAAGATTCTTAATGACCCAATCCTGTTTTTGTATTTTCTTGATTATTTCCCCTTTGAAGGGGACTTAACCTTTCATTTTCACAATTTAAACTCCCATTTTCCTAAGAATGCTTTGTACCAAACGTTTTGTAAAATTGGCCCAATGGCTCTTGAGAAGAAGCTGAAAATGTGGAAAGTGCAAAGGGACGGACAGACAATGGGTGATCAGAGAAGCTCACTTGAGCTTTCAGCTCAGGTTCAGCTCAGGTGAGCTAAAAAGGAGTAAAATCATTTTTTCAACGAAACATCAAGTTATTATTAGCTCTTAGTATTGAGAAGTCAGCACTTTTGTTATTTAAGTACAGGTCCACGTAAGAATCAGGCAGCCTATATAAAAAAGGTGATACACGAGGTTATCAGAAATTAATGATTTTTCACTCACAGATTTTCCTCGGGGTATAACCCATGTATGCGGAAGGAAAAATAATTTGGGTCATTGTTACTATGGAAACCTGGACAAAGAAATTTCCTTAGCAACAGGCCAATTTTTCTTTATAGATTGCTGAAATTTCACCCATTTTGAAGGCTTTGTACAAAAAATTTTAAAAGGTAATTCTTTTTCTTCCTTAGTGTCACTAGAAAGATAAACTCTTGAAGTGCTCTGACAATGTAATAAAAAGAAATCATCTTTTCTAATATATTTACTACAGGTACAGCTAAAGATACATGTTTCCCGTTTTTTGCTGATTCAGCATTTTGCTTGATTTTAGCAAAAATCAAGTCGATATTATTCGTTTCACCATCTTAGTACAATTGTTTCATCTATTTCCTGTAAAACTAAAGGAAAGGCTTTCTTAAAATTTAAAATAAAAAGTTTTGCAAATTTGAAATTTACTATCTGTTGCTGGGCAACAAAAATGGATGGTTTGATAAATTAAGAATGGTGAAAGTCTAAAGCATTGGTAGAAAAATCATATAAATTGTCATCATTGAGTACCAAAAACAATTTTTAAGATAATAAAATATAAAATATTCTTCCTTGTGTACCTATGAATAATTTACAATAAGTTATCTCCATGGCAACAGTAAATTTTCCTTAGCAACGAAGCCTTGAAAGTTATTTTAGAACATATTCATTAAAATTTTAACAAATTATCTGATTCTTACAATTGAATTGCTTTTGTCCAGGTTCGGCATTGTCAAAGCAGGTTTTTAAAAGAATTTTGATATCCATGGCAACAGTAAATTTTCCTTAGCAACGAAGCGTTAAAAGTTTTTTTAAGAACATATTGATTAAAGTTTTAAGATATTATCTGATTCTTATAGTTGAACTGCTATTGACCAGGTTTCGGCATTGTCAAACTAGGTTTTTAAAAGAATTTTTAAGTTATTTTTTCCCAAGCAACAGAATTACAAACATTATAAGCAACAAATACATCTTATACTGTAAACGTATTACATTTAGCGGTGTATTCTTTTTGGCGATTTTGGCGGGAAGCAGAGTCCGCTAATTCAATTACATCACTAAATGTCTTGTTTATTAACTTTTATGACTAAAAAGTCAGACAGCGCTAAATCAAATCTACGCTAACTTGTTAAAAATTTAATTTCCGCAAAATATCGTACACGCCAAATGTAATACATTTACAGTAAATAATTAGGATGAAGCAACTTCTCAACAAGAATCTATGCCTTTAAGAATGTTAACTACATGTATTAGATTAAAACATTCTACCCATAGAATTGAAAAGTCATATGCTAGACATATGACTGTGGTATTTTTTCTGCACCCGGATCGATAGATCTGGGGCATATATTGTTTTTGTCCTATCTGTCTGTCTGTTTTTCTGTCTGTCTAGCTGTCTGTGTGTCTGTCTGTCTTTTTGTCTGTTTGTTTTTTTGTCTTCAAACTTTAACCTTCGCCATAACTTTTTAACCATAAAAGATACAATTTCATATTTCGTATACATACTCCATTAATGATGTTCTTTTAAATGACACCAAGGTCAAAAACCTTGTGACCTTGACTGTGATCTATATGCTAAAAATAGTTTTTTCTGCAAACTTAAACCTTCGCCGTGACTTTTGAACCATGAAAGGAAGAGACTTCATAATTAGTATGCATACTCTACTAATTAAGCTCTTTCCAATAATACCAAGGTCAATGACCTTGTGACCTTGACTGTGACCTTTTTTTAAAACCTTCATCATAAGTTTTGAACCATGAGAGATAGAGATTTCGTAGCTGGTATGCATACTCGGATAACTCCACTAATCAAGTTCTTTCAAATGATACCAAGGTCACTGACATTGTGACCTTATTTGTGCCTATATGCTTGAAATAGCTTTTCTCAAACTTGGTTGCCGCCGAGCGCATAGTGTTTATAGTGTTTCACAAACACATCTTGTTCTCTTTCAAAAAATAAATCAATTACCTACTTTTCATTCTAGTGGCATATTGAGACTCGAAAGTCTTCAAATTATATTGCAAATTTCTAAAAATTTTGACCAATATCTGCAACAAAAACTGGATTGTCTAATTTCTGACAAATTTAGAAAATACAGTAATTTCATTAAGAAAAATATATTGACATTTGTTGAGGTCAACTTGTGACAATGCAGACCAGATGAGGTTTTAATGACCAAGGCCAAAGGCCAATGTTAATCAGTTCCTGTACATGTTCTTGTATACAAGTCAAAAACTGTTTTTAAAAATATTAGGATTTTTAGCACACCTCAACGAAGTTGGGGGAGCTTATGTAATACCCTCGGGTTTGGTGTCGGCATCGGCGTCCCGGGTTAAGGTTAAGTTTTTTTGAGCAGTTTTCTTTTTAAGTACTTCTATGCCCTATATTGATTAGATATGCATGGAAGATGTTTCTACTGTGTTTCATTGTAGCAGTCAAATGTTTCAGATGCTGCAATTTCAGCAAAGGAATGACCAGGTTAATGTTTTTGGAGCAGGTTAACATTTTTGGTGTAGTTTGTGGTGTAGGTCTCATTTCCGAGTAACTGTAAGACCTATGTTGACCAAACCTATGTGGATGACACATCTAAGGATGCATACTTCCAGACTTGCTTCGGAGGCTGAATTTGACCTACATATTCCGGTTGAGTGAACAGGTTTAAGTTTTTGGTGCAGGTTTCATTTCAAAGATACTATGAGCCCCTTAATGACCAAACTTGCATGGATGGTACATCTTAGGATGCATACTACTAGACTTGCTTCGGATGCTGAATCTGGCCTATATTTACCGATTAAGTGAACAGATTAAAGTTTTGTGCAGATTTCATTTCAAGGATACTATGAGCTCTATAATGATCAAACTTGCATGGATGGTACATCTTAGGATCAACCTACTAGACTTGCTTCGGATGCTGAATCTGACCTACATTTTCCGGTTGAGTGTACAGGTAAAGTTTTTGGTACAGGATTTCATTTCCAAGTAACTTTGAGTTCTTTAATAACCAAACATGCATGGAATATACATCTAATGGTGCATTCTGCCAACCAGGTTTGGGATGCTGAATTTGACAAATATTTTCTGGATTCGTGAAAAGGTTAGTTTTTTATATAGGTTTCATTTCCAAGTAACACTGAGCTCTATGTTGAGCAAACTTGCAAGGATGATACATCTTAGGATGCACACTAATGGACTTGCTTCTACGAAAGCCCAGAAGGCTCATTCGAGATTCGAGTTTCCAAATACGAGATTCG